AAGGAAAATTCACCTGCATTTTCTTCATTTCCACAAATTTTCGTAGACCTGCACAACTAGAATTTCAATTATTCATAATTATTTTTGATTAATTATCTCTGCAAATTATGAATCCAGTAACCAAATGTCTTACGGAATGGCAAAACAATTTCGTTAAAAATTGCTTGACGATTATGCAGTTGAATAATATTAAATCTTTCGTCACAGTTGATCAAAGATTTAGATCAATTCATTGCAGATTGCATAATTCATGCTAATTGCATTAATGAAAATTAGAGAGAGAGAGAGAGAAAAGGATTTTAAATGGGAATCGATGAATGTGGAAGTGGAGGGTAATTGCGGGAGAAATAAGAAAAACGTAAGAATGATTGACTCATTGGGAGTCCAATGACCCTGCTTTCTGTGGTGGCAGTTTTCTCGTACACGGGCGAAAATTTCTATTCTTCCCACGCATCCCAACGTCTTGAAAAAGACATGCGTCAATGGCTCACTTGGTCGTATATAGATTGCAGTTGCCTCTCCTGGATAGAACTCGTGTCGATTCTCAACTCTGGGGGGTTTCACTTTCATTTTTCCCGTCCTTGGAATCACGGAAATGTACCATTAAATGGAATCTGGAGTTTCAAACCGTCTAGGTTCGAGTCAATGAGTCCTGGAGGTGCATAATCTGGGGTAATCATCTCTTCGGGCAGTAAATCAATGACTTTTCATTAGGTTTTACATTTTTATTTTATTCTCTATTTAAAAAAAGTTATTGCCAATGAAAATATAGAGTATCTAGTTCACTGAAGAGGTAGAAAATTTTTTACATTGTGATGGAATTTCGTGAGACATTGAATAATTATAGTAATATTTAAAAACAATGTATTTTTTTTACGTCTATTTTATCAACCGTTTCTCACCAATTTGTTAAAAATTTGAAAAATGAGAAGATATCGGCAATAATTCCTTAAAAGCAATGGAATCCACTTTTTAACGGAAAACAAATTGCATGGAAGATATTTGTGTTTTTTTTGGCTTGGAATTAATGAGAGGTTTTAACTTTTTTCGAGGAAAAGAATGTCGTTTTTTATGAGCGTAGTTTGTTCACGGATAATCACAATACTATAATTGTTCTGGTGATTTTTGTTCCAGAATAGACTAGACTTGTTTAGATTGTTGGACTGCTTCTCAGCCATTTAACCTGTTGATTTTTTTAAGCCGTTCAGATTATCAAATTACTCAGAAAATTTTGGGATTTGGAAAGATTCGCAATGTTTTATTTATTT